ATTTATTTATTTATTTTTTTATTTCAAAGTGGATTATAATAGATCAATTAATTTACTATAGTCTTGAATATTAAACCGAAGAGATCAACAACTTAACTAATAAAATATCTCAATCTCGAGTTTCTTATAAGGCAAAGAGGTTCGTGGTAGATCTCAAAATTAAAGAAAGAGAGATGTGACAAAATTGATAGACGCTAAAATATTATTTAGATCGAGCCTTGGCATGAAATTTATTTTAATAACAATTTTCGAATTATACCAAACTATTTAAGAGTATTTTCAAGAGACTCTTTATTATTAAAGAGTATTTATATTTTAATTTAGAAAGTATATATAACTACGGGGAGTAAAAATTTTTAAGTTGTCCAATGGTTCTTTATATTTAATACTTTATTTTACTACTCCCAAAAAATATTTATTTTTTCCTATATTTTATTTTCACTAGATTTCCTTCAAATTATTCAATTATTTTTCTCCATTGAAAGTTAAAATACTTTAAAAGCATTTATAGAGAGTGAATTTAACTTTCCAAACTTGGAAAGCCAATTTGACTATTGGGGAACGGCTGTGCTACTTGCACATGCTCTTTTGCACAGAGCCTGTACAGGTGCACATACATGGGAGTGGACCCCACACATGAGGTCTACATGTGGGGTCCACCCCCATGTGAGAGCCCCTGTACAGGTCATGTGTAAAAGGGCCTGTGCAGGAGACTTTTTTCATTGGGGAATGGGGATGGTGAAACAACCAAAGCTAGAAAATTGGCATCTTGAATTCTTACGTCAATTTGTGTAAATTTTTAAATTGAAGAGATTTATCGCGGGTATTTACACCAATTGAAATTAAAAAAAATGTATTTTTTAATTTTTAATTTAATTTAATTTTATTTTTCATGAAGAGATCCATCATGGGCACACCAATTTTTACAAACTGCCTTTCTTGAAACCCTTTTTCCATTTTAAATGGATAATCACATTGGCTTTTTAAATCGGTAATTCATTATTGTATAGACAAGTCTCATCATTTCAAAATTACAAATCATTACTTAAGGTTTGTTCTCCGTGGTTAACTTGATGGGAGTTAAAATTTGACTTAAAACTTTTTGACCGTTAAATTTAAAAAGCACTAGATCAAATGACCAATATTCAATAGCTTCAATCCTCCT